AAATGCAGACATGGTTTTATGTTTACGCGTCGCGATGCAACGCAGCGCGTAAAAAGACAGTTTAAGGCATTATAATCCATAATTATGTCCCCACTGGATGCAACGAATGCCTCGTTTATAATGGGTTTTCATGTTTTTGAATCATCGCTCCGGCCTGACGGCATCATCACAATATGGTAAGAGAAATAACATTTCCGACTCACGCTTGAGGAATTCGGCCAATCACAACGCACTGGATAGCTGGCCAATCACAGCACACCTCGCTTTTTCAGACCGATGAGCTTTGTAAAAATCGACGCGTTTCAGAAAGGCGGGGCATAGAGGAGAAACAATAATGTACAGTATGCGGAAAATAATGTGTTTTTTTAACCTTAAACCTCATAAACACATTTCATTACACCAAACACACAAAATAATGTTCTTTTTAGCAGTATAATATGACCCCTTTAAATTATTAAACAGTTGGATAGGGTTTGTATTTGTCTGTAGTTGTAATTATAATTAATTTATAAAAAAAAAAAAAGTAGAAGTCTATGTCCTCATTTAGATAGCAGAAAATCTGTGTGTGTGCGTGTGTGTGCGTCACTGCCTTAATCCTCTGTTTTTGGCAAACTGTCATCAACACGTAGTCAACGCTGATCTTGCCATCCTTTTTTTTCTTGCTTTATTTGATTTACTTCATCTCTTGCTAAATATATTCTCCCTTGAACACAGATGGAAGAGACTGGTCTGTCTTAATATGCCTAAAGGGCTCTGAAAAAAGTTGCCTGCGAAAAATCAACTTCGCCCATCCACAGCACCGCCAAAGGGTAAGACCACCCACTCCCTATAGCCTATATCCAGCGCTCTTGAAGAGATTCCAGTTTATGATGCAATTTAATGCATAATAATTTAAAAAATATGGTGTATTATAGATATGACACTGAGAAGGAAAAGCAAAGAAACGCTAAGCGCTAATGCCAAATGCTTTTTGTTTGAAATGCATGTGAAATAAGATCTGTTCCAGAGATTCAAAGGGAATGTTTATAGAAACCAGGACGCAATAAAACATTCCAGCATCCTCAACTCCTCTGATCTCACGCTCTAAATGCAGAAAACCTGTCTATAAGAGCCTGAACCATTCTTGTATTTTACTTACAATTCATGTGAAACCTGTATTTAGTAATGCTCATATAATGATGAGATTTGCTTAAATATCCCAGCTGTTGTGAGTCTCCTGGGCCAGTTATAGTTCTGGACATGATCCAAGAACAACTGCTACTTACTGTCTCAGTTATTAAATCACTCTCGTTCATAAGCTGTTTGTCATCTCATGGGATCTTAAAGGGGTCATATGATGCGATTTCAAGTTTTCCTTTCTCTTTGGAGTGTTACAAGCTGATTGTGCATAGATAAGATCCCTGAAGTTGCAAAGACTAAAGTCTCAAAACCAAAGAGATATTCTTTATCAAAGTTAAGACCCTAAAACGGCTCGTTCTAACACGCCCCCACATATCTACCTCACTATGTGGAAATATTTGCATAATGCGCCCAAATGTGCACGCAAAGAAAGAAGGTGTGGTTTCAGTAACCGCAGTTAGTGCTGAAGCAGCCATGTCAGGGAGACGCTGTGTTTCTTGGCGAAAGCAAAAGCACTTTATTTGGCCTTCTGAAAGTAGATGCATTTAGGAATCTTTAAGATTACTTACAACAGAACAGCAAAGCATTTTATGGACGACCGTTTCGTGAAACTAGGAGAGGAGGTAATTCTGACTTTACTATGACAATCTGGCGCTTCTGAATCAGCAGCAACCTGGGAAAGTTATTCTGTAGCATAATAAATGCTCGACTATTAGACTTCATCACCACGCACAATGTACTGAGCAGAAGCCAAATCGGATTTTTACCAAATTACCGTACATCTGATCACATCTATACATTACATACTCTAATTGAAAAACATGTTAACCAAGATAAAGGTAAAATATAT